CACTAATTGGTACAACCAGATTCGTTAGTTTCTAATTCTCGATTAATATATGATATTAAATTGATTGAAAGCTATAATAAGATGATGAACTCTGTCTGTTTTTACCTTTTAGTTATATGTTAAGTCTGTCCATACTCCTTCTGTTTTAATATGTCCATTTTTTGTTGTATCCTAACTTGATGAATCTAACTAAGACATACTTTGCAAATGAGCGCATTGGATTATCTTAGTCTAAGCACACTAATTTAATTCTCAAACTTCTTCGAGTGAAAAGCTTTGTTACTCGTGGGAACAATATAAGTAGTTGAACTTTTTACTTAGAGCAGAGGTACATAAATCATAGTTCTCTTTGAAGATGATTGATTCACTAACATAGAGATATGCCCGTGATAAGAGAAACCAAGTATGGTATTCGATTCGACTGTCGACCAAAAACTTGTCCATTTAAGGATCAACCTTCTTTTAGATCATCGTATATAGATCTTGCATAGTTTACTTACAACGTTGCCATGATTGTGAAATTACTTAAAATGACTATGAGTACAAGTTTTGTTTTGCCTGCATGGTTAGCTATATGAAGAGGCTTAATCAAATATCCAAAAATACTATTTGCGGGTTAACAATAAGAGTTTTGAAGTATCAACCAAAGTCAATTGGGAGGAATTGCAACAACAAGGAAACATAATATGACTCGATTTTAGCCTTATGTCTTTACCATGAAAGATCATAGTCATACAACAACGAGAAAAGAAAAAATATGGTAAGCAAACAAAATAATAGTTAAAAAGGTATTATACGAAAAATCTAATTAATACTTATGATCACATCACATATGCTCTCAAATTTGCCAATATTCTCTTTGTACGCCTTACTCATACTATTCTTTTTTTTTTTTTTGGTCGAAAGCTTTACTCATACTATTCAAGTCAAACAAAATTCGAAGAAACAAACACGTATTTGGATCCATTTTGCAAATGTGTAGTGGTGTGCGTTTGATTGGCCTTCTAAATTGCTTTGCCAAAGGGTATGTGGGACGACTTACAAGCAAAGGGAAATGCGATTTGCCCTTTTGTTTTGTTTGATGAATAGAAAATTAGCCGAGATTTGTATATCTCGAAGTCCAAGACTTGAACAAAATAAGATGATATCATCGCATATGCCATTTGATCTAGCGATTTTTCTATTGCTAAACCGTTTGATACATCTACCATTTTCAACACCAATTTCAATAGTCTAATTCACTTGTATATGATGACAACTCAATAAATTATATTTATCAAAATATGACATTAAATAACCAACACAAATATATATAGATATAAAACTCCGCGGCGTAGCGCGCTCCACCTAGTTAATATAAAGAGAACACTGTGCTATCGATCATTACATAAATTGCATCATTGTCGAATGCATCACATTTCTGCATTTTGGGTATACTGTCGAAATGTAGTGGCCTTACTTGTGTTACTGAAACTTACAGACGAAAGGGCTCAATGGGCCTTCGTTCTTCTATAAAGCAATGGGCTTTTGGCTATAAGTGTTTTTCAAGTTGCTTCCGAGTGCAATTCGATAGTAACGATATGTCGGCAGCGAATCTCGTCATCATGGGGATATTTTGCTCAAATTTGTTCGTTTGTAACTTTG